GTGACCCCCATGAATGCTGACTTTCCTGTCTGTACCTACCGGGGTGGGCACGCTGTGACCCCCATGAATGCTGACTTTCCTGTCTGTACCTTCTGGAGGGACACACCGGTGTTTCCAAACCCCACCCTCTGGGACTCCACCCAAACATCCAGGCTTAACAAAAAAAGCCTCTCCTGGGTGGTGCCTGTGGCTCAAAGGAGTAGGGCATTGGCCCCATATGCCAGAGGTGGCAGGTTCTAACTCAGCCCCGGCCAAAAAAAAAAAAAAAACCCTCTCTGATTTAGAATTACAATAAGAACATAAAAAGGAGGAAAGAAAACTGAAAACTAAAAGCATCTCATGAAAAGCCCACATTTATACCTCAGGCCAAACACAAAGGTTCCATCTTTGATTTTTTTTAAATCTTTTCCCTTGTATGGTTTTATTTATTTATACCCAGGTTCTTTCCATAAAAGGATTTTAGGCAGTTTTTTTTTTCTTTTGACAGTATTAGGAAAACAACTTTGAATACAAGCGGGTTTCCAGTAGAAGGTTACCTCAAGGGAAAGAAAAGATCTGAAAACACGAAGGCGCGCTGGTTTCTGGCTCTAAGAGGGGGTGAAGGGCTGGGACAAGGGATCGTGACTCACCCCCTGCAGTGATGGGGCACGAGAAGCTCACGAGGACGGTGAAGAGGGGCTCGCCTGCGGGTGGTCTGGAGAGGACAAAGAGCCTGAGGGAGGCCGGCCACAAGTCCTAGGGGGCCAAAATGATGCCCATTTCTGACATTTTTGTAAGTGTGTCATTTCAGACTCTTGGCCACCTAGGGGGACTTTCTATACCACATATACACTTCCTGGTTTTCACAGAGAACAAAAGATCAGGGGGAGAAATTTCAGAGAGCCTCGGCTGAACCAGGATCAAAGAGAAAAACCCAACAAAAACACCATTCTTCATCTGCTGCTCGTCTAAAAGAAGACTCTGAAAATGGCAGGCAGGAAAGCTGCCTCAATTTCCGACACTTAACCGGCCTTTTTAAGCCCTACCCACGTCTAGTTACAATTGATCCTCCTCAAAGGGACTGAGTGGACTTCAGAGCAGCCCAGAGGAGAAAGAAAGGCAAGGTCTGTGCCAATCCCGCCACCAGCTCCTCCCCAGCCACAAAGGGGCACTGGAGCCCCCCACGTCCCTGTGAAGTGAGGCTGTCCAGGCCTCTGCCAAGGACAGGAGCACGTTCTATGACTTTTCCAACTTTCATCTGAGCTCAGAGGGGTGGTTTCTTTGCAGAAGTTGTAACTTATCAGAATAATTAAATTCATCCGCCATGAAGGTCTTAGAGCAGTTCTTCTAAAAATAAATCCAGCTGTATGTCACGTGAAGATCTCACAGCTCAGTGGAGTTAAAATAAGACCCAAACAAGATGTAAATAAGAATAAAAAACATCATTAGCCTCGATAGTCGGGGGCAAGGGGAGATGCTGGTGGGCTATCTTTGCTGATGTCCAAACACGAGGTGATCAGAACAATCCCCGGATCAGCACTTAATGGGCTGAGCTATTTCTGGCGTATCACGTGTGCAGATGCCTTGGATGGTGAGGCTTGGCCCTGCCCAGGAGGGGCATGAACTCAAGTTCACTCTCCAAGTTGCTCAGGACTACAAATTGCAAGAATGACA